TAAGAATGGAAAATTACCATTGTTAATTGACAATAAGTTGTCGATATATCTAAATGTCGAGTTGAAGGCAACAGCAAGTGTTTTCTTCTTTTCATGCATAAGATTTTGCACAAATTCTGCTTCATATGAATAAAAAAAATTGGTCTGCTAATAACGGGGCGCAATTGGAACCCAGAGGAATTCCAAAAGATTGTTGGAAGACCTGGTCTCCAAAAATGACATAGATATTGTCAATCGGAAACCCAAGCATCTTTCCGATGTCAACTTCAGAGTACTATTGTGTACAATCAGAATGTTTTTTAACAAAATAATTTTGCAAATAACCAATGACAAGGTAAGTAAATTTACGAGTTTCATTTTTATTGAAAAGCAGCTGTCAATTGATTTCAAAAAGCCTAGACTTTAATTTATCGTCGGGAATGGTTGTGTATAAAGTTGAAAGTCGTAAGTTTTTAAGCTGTTGATTTTGTTGAAGTCTTGTGATCTCAATTTGTCCAATGTTCCTTGGAATTTTTAAGTATCCATATCTGATTTACACCACTTCTTGAATATATTTCTGCAGTGTGCTCTTGAAGTTTCTCCTTCAATACTGTTAATATATTAGTGAGGAGTAAAGAAGAGACTTGGTTGAATATTTACTGGAACCCGCTATGTATCTTTGTAAGGATTCTTATGAAGTTTCGGAATCCAGTACGTATATATGGTAGTTCAAATTAATTTTGTTTCTTTTGGAATATTAAAAGTATTCAAAACTGACATATGATTTTGAAGAATTTACTCCTTAGAAAGGGAACTATGAGTATAAGTTGGATTACCACTTGCAGAATGAAATCCAGCTTCTTCTTAACTGCAATTTATTAATGAGCCTTACAAACGAAGACAATGTTGTTACCTGCTTTGTCAGCAGGGAACAGTACGTGATTGTAAAATGAATCTGATACATTTAATCCATTCTGACAAAGTGTCAACGTCTTCTTTTTTATATCTGGCCTATCGACTGGCGTAAACTTCAACAGAATCTATAATATTTATGAAAATCCGACGCCAGTTGAAGGATCGGGGTTCCCTATATTTACGGCCTTTTAAAATAAGTGATCTAAGGTCCTCATTATTAATATATTTATGTCACCTGTAATAACGTGTCCAGCAGGACTATAGTTATAGGGTGAAGAAGAAAATGAACACGGTGAAGGATAATGTTTCAGATACTCAATATCCAAGCCATGCAAAGGTTTCTTGTAATTGAAAAGTTTGGAAGCAATGGTCGATGTATCTTTGTAGGAAATAAAAGATGTAGTTTTTAGCTTGAAATATTGTGGAATACAAGACTGGACCCTTTTGTGATGAAGAATATTACTTATATTAACCGCGTCAATTCCTTAATTGGCATATTGAATTTTAAGGAAAAGACGGATCGTGTTAGCTGCATTTTCTTCAGTGAAACGTGGGGGTTAAAAAGGCTATGATTTACAATATCCATAATCACATATCCGAGCCTATATTCTGGTGTCGAGGAATCAAAAAAATGGACTTTCCTCGACCTTTTCAGAGAAGACTATTAAAAGGTTTCAAAGGGACAGAGTACATAAGAAATACCCTTTTTCATATGTAACGCATTCTGAATCAGCACTTAACACCAATACAGGGAATATTCATTAAATGCAATTGCGTATTTGCTATTGAAATGTGTATTGAATTCATGTTTAGAAATTGTTTTTGAAGGAAAAGATTTTTAATAAAAAAAAATCAATTACAACTTTTTTCTCATAACCTGAAAATATAGCACAGTAAACTAAAGTGTTTCCTTTTTGTAAGGATTGAAGATTATGGGTTAGGTAGGTCATTGATAAATATACGTCCGCGTTTTCCTTCTAATCTATAGTTCACTTGACTTGATTTGAAGTTCGCTTGCTTGGATTATCGTTCCTTGTCTGTGTTTCAGTCTGGGGAACACAGCTCGAGGGTTTGCATCATTTTCGGTTAACCTGATAGTACTATGATTTTTTTCTTTTAACTGAGTGATGCCCTGCATCACTTTCAAGAGATGAAAAATTGGTGTAATGTGATATTTTATAGATAAGTCACAATTTATAGAAGATTCTTTTAAACAGTTGATGCAAGCATAAAAGGGCTACCTACATTATCATTTAACCTACTTTTCAATTAAATTTATTCAAAAGCATTAAAGAACTTGATCATTAATTCATCTGTTCCCAGGGTTCCCTTTGGAACTGTTTCCGTTCTTATACTTGCAGTAAATATGAGTGCAGCCGTGGCCATAACCGCCAATAAACCATTATAAAAATTTGAAATATGTGTTCTTATGTTGAATTTGATATTGCACCCTAGTAGGTAAGTTTTGTCTTTGATAACCTAAATTTAGCATTGAAATCCGTACAAATATACATGGTCCAGCAAATGCTCTTCCAGGCTTCTTCATTTTCCAAAAAATATTACTACATCTTCTGTAAAAGAGAATTTTAAAGGGTTCGGTGGATTCAGGAAGCGGTACAAAACATTTGAAGATAATGAACAGTATTCAAGTTCATAAAGCTATTCAAGTAATACAAATCAGGAACAAAGCAAACACGGTTCTCTTAAACATCAGAGGTGGGATCAGGTACCATGGAGGAGTGAGCAACCCCTCCCGTATGCTCCTTGTCAAGTGTTCTGGCACACACACAAAAAAGAAGACAAATCATTGTATATCAATTCATTGAATAAATGTAAGATTCAGCTAAAGATCCTTCTTCCCCTTAAATAAACAATATCAATGCATATTTATGATGTGGAAGCATGCCTCTTCCAAAGCTGCGAATTTTATGTCCTTTATAATCTAATGATCATAAAGTGTAAAATGCAATTATTCCTTGAAACTCTTTTTCTCTACCCTTTGGTATTGAGCCGATGAACTTAGTTCATATTATAATGAAGAAGGGTATTAAATATGCTGAAAATTGTGAATTTCATGGACTCTAGGACCAGGGGTTCGGGTGATTAGGCCAAAAGGGTGGGGCTCTAATGTTTATATAGGAGAAAAGCATTTAATCATTCTTCTCTGCTCCAGGATAGTAACAGATGAACTAAGCAGATAGTTATGATGAGGAAGGGTGTCTCTCATCGTCGCAAACCACGGCCAAAATGTACGATCCTCTCCCATTCTGGCCGTGGTTGAATAAGAGGAGAATATTTCGTACTTCATTAAAATATTGACCAATGCGGGTAAAGCATAGTCGGAAAATGAACTTTGTCGCGACCTTTCAATAGCCAATCACTCTTAACAAAATATTTTTTGTTTACTGATGATGTCGATGATTTCAATTGCGATAGAAACATATATTGTCAATGGTTGAACATGACGTCACAGCATAGAGGTGTAAATATTCAAGATTACGACGGTTTATGTGATCAAGCAGCCGCGGGTAGGAGAGAGCTACATGCGGACTCTGAACCGTGGCTTGAGACGATGGGTAGTATGTGGCCTACAGGATAAAGGGTTCCAGGGGGCCTATTTTTATGCTGAGAATAACAAAAAATGCTTTAAAAATTTCGTGTGATTTTTGATGCTAAGAGAATGAAATCTTGAAGCATTTTAAGGAACTATTGTATGTCTCGAACTTTTCTTATTTAAGCATCAATTATTCACAACACAGTCACAATCAGAAACCAATTTACAAAATCTCTGCAGCCAGCTGTGATCGTTCTACGAGGAAAATGTAGCTTTATGACAATTCAATGTTGCCTCTCTTCTAGAAATTACAAAAACATCCACATTTCATTGAAATAAAGCTAGAGGAATTGCCCTTATTCTCTAAAGATATGGTCAACATTAAAGACCATAATGTTTGGTATTTGATATATGTTATTTCCGCTTGATTTCTTTCACCAAGAAGGTACTAGTTATTAGTAAGACTTCAGATATTTTACATCTACCATCGTTGAAAGTAAAAGTATTTTAAAGAAATGAAGACGCCTATGTATATAAAAGGTCAGTGTGAATAAACTTACATAAACTTGTACTTCTGACCTGAATTTATACGCTGTAAATATTTCTCATTGTCCTCGTGTTGTACCATATATTTTAGATGATTTTAAGTAAATAAATAAACTTTAATTCGAGTCCACTCGCCTCAAAACTATTCGACTCAGATGGACAAGATGGTATCCTTAAATTAAGTGGTAATGATCCCTTGTACTTAGTATTGATCACCCTTTTAGTGATTTTTGTATTATTTTTTTTCCCATCACTATATTCCGTATTAATATAATATATAAGTGTATATATTGCTTAATTCTCTATTCTAAACATTAAATAGTTGGATGTCACCTAAACGAGATAGGTCCAAGATTCAATTTAAGACGGGAAACCCGACATTTCTGGTCCTGGACACGCCTCTGAATTCCAGCAACGTTAAGGGTGACGTACTCCTCTTTAGTACTGAGACATGGAGGATGACTGTCACCACAACACAATTCTTTTTGGAGACGAGCGTGTCTCCGGATTAGATGGCCAGACAAAATTAGATACATCGATTTGTGACAAAGAACAAACCAAGCCACCTAAAGAAGATATAGTGCAGAAAAGGTGGAAGTGGATAGGGCATACGCTATGCAAGCCCTGCAATAACATCACAAGGCAAGTCATATCCTGGAACCCCCAAGGCAAGCGTAGAAAAGGCCAAAGAACACCTGGCGGTTAGATTTGGAGGCAGGCGTCAAAAGCCTGGGCAAAGACTGGAAAGAGAAAGTATTGATAGAGGCCTAAGCCCCAAAAGGGGTGGCAGTCATAAGTTAGTAAGTAAGTAAGTATGAAATTGTCTTTTATTTTGTTAAATAAAAAACTTGTTACAGTGCCATACAACGTATTTATAATATTTTTTTTATTTATTTTATTCAATGATCTAAGATACATGTTTCATTTGAGCAAACGATATCTTATAATGTTATTAATATACGTTACATTTTACTGAAATTCACTGAACCAAACACTCAACACAAAAGAAATAAAATAATTTACTCAGTCTTCATAAAGGGAATAATCGAATCGTTATACATATGTATGATTTATAAATTTTTTTCTTTCCTTCTTCTGACTAAATTATGTAAATAAACATATATATTAATAGTACAGGATCTGTAAAATGAAGAAGAGAAGGCATTTTTAATTTTATTGGACATATCTCCTTGATTTTGTAATACAATTTTTCCGAGTGATTAAAAGATACATGCAATTACACATCACATAGTGTGCAAAATAATGTTTAACCAAGCAACAGGAAGTTAATGCATGATAGATGAAAAAAAACTAAATAGTAATTTTGTAGGTTTAAATATCACACTGTAGGAATTTTACAATTGTAGAATCCCCTTTGACACCCTCTATGAATTCCGGAAGTGACAGAAGCTGGTCCATGTTTTTATCCATCTTCCGAAACAGTACTTCCGTTCTCTCCTCTGGCGTTTGTTCCTGTTCGTCTTCTTTCATTGCTGGTCCAACCATTTTGTATATTGCCTGAATTGTTAAAAAAAAAACCCACAGTCATTTGAACATTCAATGACTGACTCGTATACAGTGTATACTATATTATTGTGTTTTAATACGCAAATTTTGTTTTCAAACATGTAGTAGAGTGTAATTCCATTCATCATTTCTACGAATGTTACATAACTAATTCTTTTCTTTAATGGAACTACACCCATTCAAACTAAAATATTTAGGGTCAAGCCTCTCAGTAAAAGAAAAACAAATTTTGTCACTTATACGATGCTATAAGAAAACAAATATAGACTAGAAATTATATTGTTATTTACTTCTACCTAGAACATGTAGAACCCTAGACTGGTGCTAATGTGCTCGATTGGATGAAAACGTATATAACGCGGGTGCTACATGTATGTATGTATTTGGGGATAATTACCGTTAGAGTTATAATTAAATTAAAAATCGTAGATTACAATCGATTTTGAATTGTCATGCTAAGTTTGATTCGAAAATTTATGGCTAGGGTTACATAAAATAAACCTTATATATCATTATATGGCTATAACATGATGCATAAAAATATGAACCAAAAATTAATCAGTGACTCTTTTAAGTACTTTAAATGCTAGTAGTAAATTTATAGAAAAAGGTATTTAGTACTGCATTTGAATAATGCCTTAACTAGAAATGCTACTCTTTTATTGATACCTTCATAAAAATTCCGACTCTAGGTGAAAACTGCCTCATTATCATATTTCTATAATCAAATCACATGAGTAAATTATCCCTTTTTTCTCTTTGTGGGGAATATTATTGTCTATAAAGCGCTGTCTATAAATTGAGAATCGCACTTTTATACTCTAAGGTTATAGCAATTGATGGATTGATTGGCGAACCTGGGAAAAAACAGGTATCTGGGGGACTGTTAAAGGTCAGGTTAGGAGACATATTAAGGTGAGATTAAATTCTCGTTGAGTAATGAAGATCGATAACATTTAATTAAATAACACCACTTGTAAAACCATGCATCTTTTCGTCCCTATAACCTTTGTTTGAAAAATAAGACTGATTAAACTAAAGGTGAAGATAGGGTACGGTGATCGATCTAAAAAATAAAAGCATCTGTGAACAGGGGCTGGCTATAGAACAGTGGCTGACTATAGAACATTGGCTGGCTATAGAACAATGGTTGGCTATAAAACAGTGATTGGCTATAGAACAGGGGCTGGCTATAGAACAGCGACTGGCTATAGAACATTGGCTGGCTATAGAACTGTGACTGGCTATAGAACATTGGCTGGCTTTAGAACTGTGACTGGCTATAGAACATTGGCTGGCTATAGAACTGTGACTGGCTATAGAACATTGGCTGGCTATAGCTACACCCTTGGAAATTCCAGAGGTGGGTTCAGGCGCCCTACTGATCAGTTAAGACCGCCACACACCCTTTAGATATTATATATATTGGTTGGATACTTGATATATTCCTATGTCAAATTCAATATACAAACAAAGGCTCCAAAATGATATGAGACAGCAAAAATACTACCCCAATGGATGCTCACTCCTCCGTGGCACCTGATCACACCTCTGATGTTTTCAGTTGGAGGTCCGTGTTTGCGCTGCTCCTTTTTGTATTGCTTAATAGAGTTTTTAGCTTGAATACTGTTCGTTATCTCCATATATTTCATAGGTTCAATTTGCTATCAAGGTCACTATTTAACTGGTAATTAAAGCATTTTAAAGGTTATACGGAGATTATCGGATATTGCGTAATAGCATTAAGAATACGTGTCATTAACTTTCAAGATTCAAGATATTCATAAATGGGGGAATATTTAATAATCATATAAGCTCACTTTCATCCATTATCAACAGTTTTACGCGCGAATGGTGTTATTCGATGAATACTTTTAATTTATTTCCATTTGAACAACGTTGATTTCTCAATCTCCAAGTGAAACATATAGTTACAATTTACAGTATATTGATTAAAGTGCAAGTAGTAAAATATTTGAAGTGATAATCTTACTTTGATGATTTCACACATTTCATCTTTTGAAATATAACCATCGCCATCAAGATCGTATATCCGGAATGCAAAGTGTATCTTCTGCTCTAGGGTTCCTCGGGAGGATACGTTTAACGCACACATAAACTCCCGAAAATCTAGTGTTCCATCTCCATTCTCATCAAATGCTCTAAACACGTGTTCTGCAAACTTAGAGGCGTCTCCAAGAGGAAATAATTCAGAGTATATGTTTTTAAATTCGTTTATGCTCAAACTTCCGCCGGGACAGTCATTAATGAAGCCTTTATACCACTCCTGAATTTCTTCTTTGCTGAAGCTCGTGTTCAGGTTTAGATCTGCCAGTACTTCCGGTCTCAGTTTACTGTTCTGTTTCCCCATCTTGGTTAAAGGTGTTAAATGATACAGTGGAATCTTTTCTATACGTGAGGCAGTCCAGCCAAATGTCGGTGAACAAAATAATGCAATTATGAGTTCTCTGAAATTAAAAATAAAGATCGTCTAACACAATTGGTTAAAAATATATCCGTGTTTCCAGAGGAACCATGTATGTTTAGGATTTGAAAGGAAACGCATATAAATGACAAATCTATAAATAAATTCTCCTGAAACATTTCACTGCTTTATAAATTATTCATTTCAAATTCCTCTTACGGAAGTCATAAAGCAGCGAAGAGAGAGAGACACAGCGAGCTTACAAAGACAATAGGCAATCGTCAGCTGATTGGAGTCTCGTTTTAGCTGGAATTACCGGGGAGCTTTACACAGGCAGAGCCGAGTTCTACAATGAATGCTCCGTAACTCCACCGTATCCCAAAGCGCTCCAATATTGTCAGGATTGTAACGCAATAGACTCCGTATCACGATTCAAAGGCCAGATAGGAAAACAACGATGTTTAATGCATTTTTATAAACGATTGAAAGCCGTTGTTCTATGAGAAAGTAGATCAATGCAATGATTAAAAGAAATTAATGTCGGGATAAAAATTATTCAGATCAGTGACTGCATTTTGAATCATACCTCTCTCTGCTTTGTAGAGCAGTCTGTCCGCCACCACCGAGGCAGCTGATGCACAAAGTACCAACCTCCTCACCCAATTAAACAAAGATATAATTAATCTTGTTTTTAAAATAAACATGTACACGGTGATGGGACAAAGGTTCAATCATTGATTTAAAATTCCCCAATGAACCAATTTATGATCTGTCATTTGTGATCACAACGGGAACGAACTTGAGTCCCGGTGAAGATTGTTTACAAGGGGGCCCCCAGTTCAATACTTATTTCAAAATTCCTTTATCAATATCATCTCTTGAATAATGAAACACTAAGGTAATTAAGGCCTCTTTGTCGCATAAGAGGTCCTTCCGTTTATTTGAGGCGATATTAATCCGCTGTTGATTTTATAGTATTTATATTACAATAAGCTTATTATATTTCCCCGCAACATAACGTAAAGTAAGAGATTTATCTACAAGAAAGGCAGCTTAAAAAAAAATTTGCATTCTTTCGACCTACTGGTTAAAGTACGGTTTATTCTTCTTGTGTTTAATTCCGAAACCAATCACGATCTATTTCGTTTAATTCCATTAAATTGTGAACATGCAGGATGCGTGTTGAATATTTCTAATTAAAAACCATATCTACCTACTTACTTATTTTATTTATCCAGAGTCGGGAGTTTAGACAAACATTGTTTAAATAGAAACACAAGATGTAAATTTAGAATTGGTCGTGATTATTAGCTACTTAGGATTGTCCGTTAAAATCGACTTAGATCAGTGTTAATTTTTCTCGTATTTACTGATATCTCCCGAGCAATTTACGGCTATATATTTAACAAGTTTTCCCCTCACTCATTTGGGCATTTGCTAATGGCATGAAATCGACCACTCGTGACAAAATGAGTTTCTGCACAAGCAAGAATCTGCCGCAGTCAGACTAATAATACAAGACATTTAGAGAATTCTCAAATGTATTATTTAACAATGTCTTCAAATAAGCATCCGATCAAAGCCAGTTTTCTCGCAGTTGTTAGGCTTAGTTTCTCATTTAGTAAATGAATGTTGCATTACAGTCGTAGATCCTGGCAAATCTTTGTCTGATCACACCTTTATCATTGCGCATTGACAAACTGGCGGAGGAAGATATCGATCATAGGACTGAAAATATTAATGGCAATTCTGACAATAATTTGTTTCTTTATCTGAAGCTCGAACGACAGTGGGAAATAAAGAATGAAATGTGCAAAATATTACGCAATAGATCTTGATGTAGAGTAGCTATTATACAAGATATACAACTCCGTGCTTATTTAAGGGGGCCGACTATAGTTTTTATTGTGTCAAAACTACAATAGCGAAACTCTTCATTTTTATACCATATAACTTACATTATCTTCAGTGTACATGCAAAGTTTGGGGGAAATCTACCGTTCAGGTATTTTTGAGGGACCGTCTCAAAATACAGGAACATTTACTATAGGATTATATGGGAAAATGCCAAATTTTAGAACTTTAAAGTAAATTATACAAATACTACAATAGACATTTTGTTCAAACTGTAATATTTGATGAGTAATACTATATTATAAAATATATGTAAGAAACACAAAATTCTACCGTCTTGTTACCAGGGGGGCATCTCAAAATGCAAAAAATAGCAAATTTTACTATTTTTGTAGTGTACTACAAAATATGACGTACACAATAGATTCACTTGAAAACATATTAATAAAAATATTGGAGATATTCTCAAATTTCTATGTTTTAAATTTCAAGAGCGTATGTTTATTACTTTTTCTTTAATAATATTTTTATTACCCCTTTCTTTAAGAGGTTCAGATTATCATAACGTCAAAAACACAGTGCAACGACGTCAACCTACCTATCAATCGCAAAATCGGTTAAAAAATCAGATATATCAAATTTTGTTACATTTTTATACCTATAGTTTCTTAATTTTGCTTAATTTTAATAATTAAGCGAAAAAAATTCCAATTTAACAGTAAATACGCTTCATTTTACTATGATGCGCGAAATATTGCGCAATGAAAACTATAGTCGGCCCCCTTAATGATGAATTTTTGTCAACAGAAAACAAGAACAATCTTCAACGTTTAAAATGGTTTCTGTTTGAACTAGGTTTAACACAGTTTTTGTGTTAATGGTTTGTGATTAATATGACTTTTTCCCTATTGCGAGTTTTCTAGGAAACAAAAACATTAAGATATATAGAAATATCCAATGACAAAACACCGACAGATTTATTTATCACTTTTTCAAATCGAGCGCCAATTTTACTTTTAAGGTTTTTCATAGTCGAGGGAAAGACTAAACATTACAAAAATAACGATAAAATCCAGAATTGTTTCCGGGCTTTCTGTTCTATTAGATTGTTTTGCACTGGGACCAAAACTGAGATCCTATTCCCTAGTTCAATATACATGTTTTGACTGTCCACTCCTTGTATCTTATCATTGGTTCCGGGACCAAGTTCCTAATATACCACACGGGTACTCAACAGCTCTTCATTACAAAGTTCCAAATGAGATTTAATTCTTAAAATACTAGTATACATTACCTCTGACACTGATATGTGACATTCGCCAATAATCAACTTTTAAGCCTTCCTTTTCCACGAGAAGACTCCTATTCAATTTTCATTACCAGGACTAATTAACTGTATGTGAGTATGTCATCTACATCTTTCCACGTTTTTTCCTCGACAGAAGATGGCAATCAGTCAGTTACTTCCGTGGTAAGATCTCGAGCTGTGACTCTGATCCGGGCTACGGCGAAGGATATAGATGTTATCATCCTTCATTAAAAATAAGAAAAATTAAACATCCGGGTTATAATATTTTGTTTGTCTTATCATCTTATGTATGCTAAAAATTCAATGATTGTTTTACAAAACAAGAATGCTATATCGTTTTTTGTTTGAAATCATAGCGTTTTATAAATGTCGTATATTTAAGGCATTTAATTTGCTAAGTAAAAAATATTTTTGAATTTGAAAGAAATGGTAATATTTTATTCAATTTCAAATTTAAATAATAAATACTTGTAAATATATGACAATTTAGTGTTACCAATTCATTTATAAAACTTTTACAGGAACTAACTGAACTTAAGGTCGGTATACATAGTACTAGGATTTGCATTAGAATACCGTTCTTTGTGAAAAGGGGTCTTGATGACAAAATTTTCGAAATAAGCTTTTTGCATATTTCAAATCTATATCAAATTTAGGGTACATAGTGAAAATTTGCGCATTTTATTTGCAATAGTTCCAAAGATATACCTGCTTGAACATCGTTTGTGTTGTAATTATACCAATGACGTCTGACGACGTTATTATAATATTTTTACAAAATGACGTACATGTTAACATTTATAACATATGTCAATTTGATGAGGAGAAAAAACAGAATAATTTGATTTTTTTCAAATATTATATAGAAATAATTAAGATCACAAAGAAGAGTAAATTTCATTCAAAAACAAAATTTCTTTTGTCATTATGTGTACGTCATTCAGGCGGTGGATAGGTCATATTTTGTTGAGCCGGTCGTACAAATGGTCTTACTTTCGTGAACAAGTACTACTTGGTAAGATATCAGGCTAACGATTTATTTGAATACCTATGGAACACAATGCTACACTGTATTCGCTGAGAGCATTGTATCAAACATAGAATATAAGAAATGATGACATATTGAAACTTGAGATATAATATATTCTTGTTTCAGCAACTTGTTTGTCAATAACTTATGAGAGATATAAATTCGTATGCAGGTGATAAGGGTATAATGGTGCATTAGTAAAGAAAGATGAGGATTGAAAAGTTAAATTTATCACGTTTAATGTCAAGTTTTCTTTTTACATTACCATTACAGCGTTTTTTCTAGCAAGATATTCAAATATGAAAGAAGTGCTATTTTTCATTTCAAGCTCACTTGGATACATTGGATTTAACGAGGCCGAGTATAATTATTTCTACCCAGGGATTTTGATAATTTTTCGTTAGTTGATTTTTACTGTTATATTTATATTTATTGCATATATAAGATTAAAAAATCGAATGATCTAGAACATTCTTAAATTTTTTACCAGATTGTTCCAGTAATATCATGTTTTAATAATTTCCTAGATTTTTACTATATAAATATGGGGCCACTACTGAGATATAAAGATATATTTTCACAAATTTTACGGACACTCTGATGTATGTATTTTTAGATTCTTGCTAAGTTTGTACTTTATGATTTATATATATTACTGTTAATAAATTATTGTTAAGTTTACTGTGTGATTGATTGGCATTTAGGGTTATTCTGACCCATAACACTTTAAGATTAAAAAATCGAATGTTTACCACCCCGATTTCTTATGGGGCCATCTCAAAAGTTGTCAAATTTTACTATTGGACCCTATGGGAATTTGTTAGAATAGCGCACAATTATTACATTTTTTTCCCATATTTTTGTATTTCTGCCCTAGAGATTTCTTTTTCAGTCACATATATGAAAACTATTGTAAAAAGTCACCAAATCAAAGTTAACCATCTAGGTTGATCTATGTCTTAATGTTATTATTACGAAGTTTATTTTTTTGATAAATAATGTCTCTAATTATACCCCATTCATACGACGAAAATTTGCTTATGTGTGCAAATTTACATATGAGTAAATATACACACGTAAGTAAAAGTTAATTTGCTATGCGTTCAGACGTGATTTATGTACTTTAAGTAAATCCTTGTATATTCATATAAAATAAGGAGATCCACAGATTCAAAACTGTGGATTTTTATAGAAAGGTTATTTTCTTACTATTTCGGTATAAAAATAACTTTTGAATGTTCCTCAAAGAAACTAGGGAGAAATCCTATCCATTTATTTTTTGGTACGGATAAAAGCGAACTTTTAGGAAAGGTTTACACACGAAAAAAAAATTGAGTAAAATCATTGTTTAAAGTTGCATAATGCTTTGGTCTCGGTCCTTAAGACTTTAGAGCGTTCGGTGTTATGAAAAAGATTGCTGACTACTGGTTGGCGTCTTCAGCACAATAAAGGACGACTGGAAATCTTTTTAGTGTTTGGAAATCTACAGTACATCAAGTTTGCGAGTTCATTATGAAGTATCTGCTTGAATATTTCATATATTTTCCGGAAGAATGAAATGGGCAATCGATTTTAAAAAAATTAAAACAAAACAAATACGTGAATTGGAAATAAATACGAATCCCCATGAATCATGGAATACTAAAAAATGCTTATTTTCAACAGTGCTATTGACATTCCTGTAACATCAATTTATATGTCAGTATATGGCTCTGAAATATGGGGTTATGAAAATCTAGATGTTATTGAACGTTTACATTTGAAATTCTTAAAGCATGTATTTAATTTAAAAAGTTCCACGCCATCATATATGGTTTATGGTGAAACAGGTCGTTTTCCTCTTTATATCTCAATATACAGTAGAATGATTTCTTACTGGGCAAAACTTTTTTCCGGCCTGCAAAATAAAATTGTAAATGTGTTATACAAATATACACTAAAACTTTATTGTGATGGAAATCTAACAAATCCTTGGTTAAACTGTATAAAGGAAATCTGTAACATGTGTGGCTTATCAAATTTATGGAACCTACAAGGTGTTTGTATTAATTATGAATGGATAAGTGCTACTGGTAAGCAAACACTACAAGATCAATTTATTCAAAATTGGTTCAGTGATATAAATAATTCCTCAAAAGGACAAAATTACAGAATCTTTAAACAAAACTTTGGATTCGAAAACTATCTTTGTAAATAGTATCCCCTAAATTTAGAAAAAGTCTATTGAAATTTCGCACCACAAACCATCATTTACCAGTAGAAACTGGAAGGTGGTGTGGTATACCACTTTCTGAAAGACTTTGTACACTTTGTAGCAAAGGTCAAATTGCTGATGAATTTTATTACAATCTAGAATGCAAAGCTTTGGAAAATGAAAGGAAAAAATACCTAGGTAATTATTATTCTAGTAGACCGAATATTATTAAATTTACAGAACTTATGTCAACTCAAAACGAACAAATTCTGAAAAAAATTATGTATGTTTATTCTAAAAATTTATGACGCTACCTGTCCTCCTTAATATGTTACTTATTGTCTGTTTCTCCCTCTTTTCTCATTTTTTCTTCATTTTGTAACATTTTGTATTGTATATATTATATTTTTTGTACCTCTGACCAGTTTGTTTAAAATGTATATATGTTTTACTGTACCCCATGTACCAATATTTTGGTTTGGGAGAATAAACTGAACTTGAACTTGAACTTGTTGTTTTTAAGAGTGAATTCATTGGCAAAGACTGTAACCTATTCTGCTGTGTTCGATAATAATCAGTTTTTAAAAATGCATGAAATATTTGAAAAATAACGTATTAAAAATTCTCTTTGAATTAAAACACACGTCCGTAACATTTTTATCCAATTTCTGATTGGTTTTAGAACTCTTTTTTTTAGTATGGCCCTTCGTATACTGGGTTATAGCAGATCCTATGATTTCCTGAAATTATTTCTTCTTTCTGAAAGGTGTTTTTTTTTTCAAGTTTGGAAAATGAACCAATTCAAAAAAGTGACATATCTGGCTAATATTATTTTGTGACAAAATATTACCTTAAGTTTCTGTTTATCTCCAAAACTCCTTTACTCTTCATAGCGGGTTGGTTTGGATGCTGTCATGAAGAAATTTAATCTATTGGATTCCTGATTCTTGTTCCTTTCTCTCAAAAACCTTTCGATTTTTTTGCAAAAAATGTGCTTTTTAGACTCCTCCAGATATTGAACTGCCTTCCCGAATAAGAATTTGAACAAGACCACTAATATTAAAGAAAATGGCATCTAAAACTGTCTTTGTCCTCTTGTAATTCTTTGCTGTTTTCAGGCCTTTGCTGGTTTTGTCAAGTGCATCTTATTGTAAAAATGTTTTGAGGGCAGTAAAGCAATGGACTCAGGTTTCATCATCTGTTTGCATTTCAGACAAACGTGGATAACAACAATTTCTGATTTTTGAAAATGATTTAGATATTCTTACACGATGTCGTGTTCAATCATTTTTTCCAAACATAGGGTGACCATTGAGTACTTGTTTTTTTTTACTGTCAAATGTTTATCAAAATAGTGTGAACTACCACCAAATTATTGTCTGTGCCAATCTAATTAAAATTAGATGTTAGATCCGCTACACTAACGTTAGTGTAGCGAGTATGCGAGCGGATCTAACATCTAATTTTAATTAGATTGTTGTCTGTGCGTGTGTTGTAAAGTCAATCAAACATCATAAGTGATAATCTGTTGAATTTCGGCAAACAGAACATTGGTTGTTTGAAGTCCTTGTCGCCAAGGACGGTACCCATTTTTGATGCTCATTATATCATTATAGTTCATTAAAATTCACCCGCTCATGTATCTATAAAACAGGCATTGGTTGCTGTAAATTTCACAAATTTCAGTTCACATTTCTTTGGGATTCTTAACAAGTTTTACAGCAGTTTAAATGAAGCGTTTAATTTCACTCTAGTTCACTGATTCTTTACCATTCATTTTAATACAGTGTCTCGAATATCCCTTGTTTTCCAGTCTGTCACAATGTAAATATGAGATGAAAAGTGGTCACATCAACTGCTATCAATTCACAAAAGATTCAATCATGAGAGAAAGTCAAGCTTAATGTCATATGATATCTGTGTTGATTGTCATAGAGTTCGGGACATTATTTATTGAACAGCCCTCGTGTTCTCAACACTTTAAAGAGGATTGTGAGTGTCCCTGAGATTAGAAGTGTTTCTTTTGTATATGAGCTCAACTCATTTAAAATTCGTTTCAAGAAATTCGAATATCCTCATTTATGAAATTTGAAAACTTTAACGTTAACAAGTAAATCTTATTGCAAGTCAATTAATTTTTTATAATAAACAAGCAAAAACATTAATTGATTTTTTAATTCAATATTTAACTTGACATGTACAACAGTTAATGATAAAATGTTGAATTTTTATTTAATTATTTAACTCGATACTGTTAAAATGTTGGTCCTTGTTCAGTTATTTTTACATGTTGATTTAAAAAATTGACACCATCACTGTCTCTTTTTGCTGTGAGAATCAATTTATGCCAAATTAGAGTATCGATTGTGAACCAGTACCGTCCCTTGGAGAATTTGCCTTATTCTAAATGAGACGTTTGATAAAGCATAGGTGAAGTTACACAAATACAAGACCCGATCAAACAGAGTTCAATATGCCATCTCTATTACATTTGTCTATAAAGAAATAAACAGAGGGAAAATAAGTCGCAAATAGGGAAACGGTTTATAGATGTAGCTATATATATATATGAAGTTCCTAGTTCCTAAATGGTAATTTCTAATTCATTAAGAAGTATAAAGCATTTATTATCTATCCATCATTTCAAAAAAGTGGTAAATGTTCATTTTTATTTTTAAAAAAACAGTTCACGACAACTCATTGTTGCTAGGCTATGCAATAACTTAATACTAGTAATAAGCACTTCAAGCAATATGTGGAAGTTGCAGAATTTTATCTTTTTCCGGAAAATTCAAGAAAATGAATTAAGTGAAAATTTAATCGCTACATCGATCTTTTTTGTTTTTGTTTTTTATCAATATTTGATGTGTAATAGACTAAAATATATCACTCGTTGTTTGCATATTTTATCGCTAACAGTATTAGAATTGAATTTTACACAACATATCAAATAATTATAGTGGGCGACGACTGTGGACACTGTTTTCTGAAGGAAATGTATCCTCGAAATGCGTCATTTTGAGGCTTTTTCTGTTAAAAATAGAGAAATGCATCAAATTAACGTCATACTTCCAGAATGGTACTCTTTAATGTCATATTCTTTCCTGATCTTTCACAATCATAAACTCAACTAACATTTAAGCCAGTTTCAAACCTTTTTTGAAAACATCAAATTTTTAGGGCACAATAAAGCTAAATCCGTACCTTCTTCTTTGTATTGTGTTATATTTATAAAAGAAATATATGGAGATGATAACGAACAGTATTCAAACTCAGAAGTCCACAAAACAATACAAAATAATAGCTGATCAATCAAGGAACTCCGAAACAGCAGAGGTGGGATCACGTGCCATGGAGGCGTGAGCATCTTCTGCTAACCGGTCACACCTGCCGTGTGCTCTGTCATGACCGAGAAATAACGGAAAATTCATCGTCATTTCAGTTTGTAAATATTGGACCAACAATTAGTATGAAAAACGTCCGTCAGTATTTGACTCAATAATAAATTATATTTGCTGACAAGGTCATTGTATCAACAATAGAACTTAAGGTAGGATTCTTCTCTGGTTTCTGACTAGATGAAACATTCAAAGTATATTTGCTTATATGTCTTATATATTGAGGTGTAAGGAATTTAAAAGACCATATTTTTCTTTCCTCATCACAATTGTACAACTTTAAATAAAAATGGTAAACTGCGTTTGAAAACTAGCAGGGACTATTTTTTTGGCGGAATGATGGCGTATGAAAATATCTTCTTTTCGGCCTTTCAAAATTATAAAAGAACAATGAATTTAGTTATAATTTTTACACAATCGAAGACTTGGAGAAATTTTCAAATGTAAGTTAGATTAATAATGAGGGACTAAACTTTTAAAATATATCAAATAAATATGATTTTTCAAACAAACTAGAACTTTATTTGCTTTTAAACGCTTCCTATCAAAGTGCAGATTTGAGCCAAAAATCCGTAAAAAGTATTTTTTCTCTCTTAGTAAACGATGAAAACTTTTAGTTTTTGTATTGTTTTGTACATTTATAAAACTACTTTATTATTTGTGAAAATAAGAAAAAGTTAAATATAAGAAGCATACGAAAATAACTAATATATCCTAAAAATTTACGAAAACAGAGAAAATTCGGATTAGCCAATATCCAGTTAAGTTAAATTATTTACGTAAATTTGGTAATATCATGCTATAGATCCAATATAGCAATATGTTTTTATGCAAAAAGAACATTAAACTTTTGAAGTAGAAGTAGGTATCACATGATTGGCAACAGTTATTTTTTACTCTTAATGTCAAGGAAAAGGATAATGACCTTGACCTATAATATAAAACGGTCAAATTTAATTTCACTGATACTATCACTTACTGATATTGTCTTCTTGATTCTGTGAAAATTTCATTAATTTTTTAAATATTAGAAATGTGAGAAGAATCCTACCTTAAGAAATGATGCCTTAAAACGAGACTGTTGATATTCGTTTTTCTTCAAATTGTTTGTCAATAATTTGCCTCGATTTCGAAATTGTACATTATTACGTAAAGCTTGCTCTTGCGTATATTTGAGATATATATAATCCCCGTATACAGGTGATGAAGGTATATTGCTGCATGCAGTGTACGTACGGAAGAAAGGATAGAAAAGTTGAAGTCATCACGTTTATCATAGAGCCTGGTAGTTAAATTATCATTAACGTGTTTTCAAGTAAAGTATCCAATGTGTCAGACTCTGTGTTATCTTTTATCTAAGCTCACCGGGATATATCGTATCGACATAAGAATGAAAATAACCATTGTTAATATACAATACGTCGTCGATATATCTAAATGTCAAGTTGAAAGCCAAAGCAAGTGTTTTCTTCTTTTACGTATAAGATTTTGGACAAATTCTGCTTCATATGGATATAAAAATTGGTCTGGTAATAACGTTGCGCAATTGAAACCCTGGTGAATTCCGATAGATTGTTGGAAAACCTGGTCTCCAAAAACCACATAGATATTGTCAATCAGAAACTAAAACATCTTTTGATGTCAACTTCAGAGTACTTGTGTGTACTATTAGAATGTTTTTAACAAAATAATTTTGCAATTGACCAATGAGAAGGTAAGTAAATTTTCGTGCTCCGTTTTTATTGACAAATCATTCAAAAATAATCAGAAAGGCACTGTTGTGCAAGAGATTTTTAACTGAATAATACGCTTAGCAAGATTTTAAAGTAATCTTTTACTAGTCTATTGGATGTTGACATGGCTAATGCGACGTCAGACATATCTCGGATCCAAATTAAAGAATTTGAATAAATTTTTATTTGCTCTGTTAAAAAAGTAAGAAGGTACATTAATCAACTGGCAAAATGATTACTTTTAGGTTATTTCTCTTTCCGTCTTAATCAACGTAGTACAATTATCTTAACTTACATGAGATCTTTCAAAATTTAAATGCTTTGAAAATACAGGGCGGTAGTTGTAGCATTGTTTGTTATATACACAGACAATTACAGGCAATACAGGCATAATGAAATGCTATTTCTTATGAAATAAAAGGAATAAAATCTAAAAGCATATTTTTAAAAATATGTATACCTTGATACAATTTAGAAAAAAAATGGTTTAACAGTTACATGAATACTTGTGATGTTCCATAGAGTTATATACGATTTCTTCTTTCTGTGACGTCAGTATTTTCCACCACAACTGGTTGAATAACACTGAAAAGAATTACAGTAAAATGAAACGAGAGTAGGGGTACATAGATACAAAATCTAGAGACTTGAAATACTTAATTCTCAGAGACTCATACCTAATTCAACAATCCAGTCCTAATTTATATCAAAGATAAAACATTTTTTGTGGTTTTTGACAAAAAACAGAGATTGACGTTATTCGACACGACTACTTTCCGAAAAGTATACCCCAAATTTTTTATCACATTTAGAGGGAGTCATTTTTTAACTGAAATGAGTTTGTCAAAATTAAAAAGTAACATCCGCCGGTGTATTCGGACAAGAGGGCTGTTGTTTAAAAGTGCCAAATGAATGTTTGTTCTGCTTTTGAAATTTTGAGTATGATAACATTTTGTTACTTTCTCATTACATTATTAAACTGATAATTGAAAATCAAGTATTTTCCTATCAAGGTACGCAGCAATATTTTATTAGCCCTGTTATACGTGAAATACAGCTTTAGTCAAACTGCTTATTAATGTACGTGTAATTATATGCAACGACAGTATCGTCTGTTTAAAATATTTTAAAAGACTCCCAACTTATTCAATATTCAGGAATATGCTCTGAGTATGATCAATTCTTAAAGCGAAGCATGCTACTAGCTAATAAGTTAATGATACAGGGATTTTTACAAATTCGCTTCAGATCTGCAATTCGTAAATTTCATTACCTTGTTAATTAACCTGTAATGAGGTCGTACTTTGTATTTTGGCTGTCCAATGACTTGTTTCATACTTCATGTTAGGCTTTTGTTCTTGTCTATGCAATGTATCCTTGATCAATTTATTGGACTCTCAGTGGGTGTGACCTATCAACAGGAGATGCTTAATTTCCTAAAGCACATGCTCCTACCTCTGGATGTTCCAGTGGTCCGTGACCTATGACCTCATCACATTTGTGTATTGTTTGTAGATTTCTACAGAATGATCACTATTCTTTATCTTCGCCTTTTAAATTCTCTAATAAATGACTCTATGAACACTGAACCTCTTGAAACGTTAACTCTTAATTTGGGTTTCTTACTTGAGTTTCGTCTACGTTTCCATAAATCTATTAGAAGATTAATTGAGTCCCTGCTAGTTGACTCAGAAAAATTGTGCCTAGTTAAAATTAAGTTAGTAAAGTATTCTTATCATTAAAAATTTATTATTTTTTATCAAAATGGAAATTTTGTCAAATAAATAAATAAAATACAATGTTTATGTATTTATAAAATTCTTTTTGAAAAGTTACTGAATTAATTGCTTTATAATAGAAAATAACTTTATGCTTATAAATCTTAATTTAATTACTGTATGATTTAAACTGACAAATCGTGTACTCTGGTGACAATATAAAAGATGTAATGTTCATTGAAGCGTAATAAACCAGGCCGTGTTCGATGAAAATCCTAGATTATCATGTTACAGGGATTATATATAAGACGTCATATACTAGTAGTTTAAAAACTCACATGTATATAGTTTCAAAATGTTCATAGCAATACTAATTCAGTGATGTTAGATTTTTCAAATAAAAAATTATTCTTCATATTAATCAGTTAATGATTTTTTGTTTCGTTTATCTTTTCCCTCTAATTTAAACTGCTTAATTAAAAAAAATTACTCACACAAATTGGCATGTTCCTTTAAAGTAGGTCAAGAAGCGAGGGACATGCACAAGCGCCTCTCCATCATCATTGATGCACATCAGTCCCGAGGCACACCTGTAAATCAAGGACGGGATGTGAACATCACATTCATAGTCAAACATGTATGATTAAAATATAAATAAATGAATGCTGTTATGAACATGAATATTTTATTATGCTTGGTGAAACTTTCTTTTTAACTGTTCAATGAAAAATGATAAGTAATTATGAATGTCCAAACCAAGTATTTCTTTCTTTTATAAGAAATATATCATGACTCCACTTTGTGAGAAATATATGTAAATAAAATCATAAAATCATCGCTGCATATCTAAATTAAATTTATCTGTATAACCCAATTAATAACAAATAGAATGACTGTATGTTACATATTTTTCTCTTATTAAATTCAATGATTATATAAACGGACAAATTGAAACCTACCTGACAGTGGACCAAGAACATTGTTCTCCAACTCTGCGCGCGCATTCTTTGCAGCAGGAACAAGGTCTTGTTACATCTTCACAATCCTTCGCGGGTAAAACTGGACAGTTCACGCCCAATCCACACTCAATGCATTTCTTAGCACACGTGATTCCTAAACCCACAGTAATTAGGAAATTGAAAAATAATACTTTCTCCATCTATTTGTTTTCTTAACTATCCAGTTAAAATGAACATTGGCAAGAATACATAAAATATATATCTTCGTATGATTAAGAGAAAACAAAATGTGCAGTGTGCACCGTTATGTAACTTCAATTACATCATTTGCTGGTTCTGGTACAGTTTGCCATGATTTTTTTTCTCTCAGCATCTCAAACAGTTATTCACTGAGGATAATTTGTCATGAAAACTTTGGAAGTGAAAGGAATGCAGCTCCACTATTAAAGTGCTCCTTGAGAGATGTGCGGTTGTGTGCAGAGGATTGCCCGAAAGATAAAAGCTGGTGATTTACGTTCAGAATATTTACCGAATTCCAATGCAATTGAAACTAGCATAACGAGGTGAAAACAACAACAGAATATTGTAATATTGATAAATTTAAAACAAAATCTTTTTTTTGCTTTGTTCTACATTACTTCCTGCCTTTTTCACTTTTTTAAGTGAAAACAAAGTTTGAAGTTTTCTTTCCTCCATCCTTTGGATATTGAAACTGTTAAAGAGGTATATATAGACCAATAGTGGGGCATGCTTTATCATATATGTGAAATTAATTTTTTTTTCTCAAAATAACAAAACCAAGATTGAATAAAATTAAAATTAGCATTAAGACACTTTAAGTTATACATGTAAATAACATGTATTATACACAGGTCTTTGTTAGTCACTTCCGTTTCTTGTTTCTATATTTTATTTCTATGTGTCTTCCTATCAAGAGAACATGGGCGGTTTGTTGTAAGTAATTCTCAAAATATGAATATTATTAATTTGACAATTGTTATGATATTTACATATTAACCTTCCTAAATCTGTTCAATTTATGAGAATAAATAGCATTCTTTTTTAGAAGAAACATTGCTTCTAACGAAATAATACCCGGTAATCACTGTCATTATTAATTAATCAATCTATACATGTAAAAAAAAAAAATTAAGAAAATGTTAGATAAAAAATAAAATATCACTGGATTAAATTTGATTAGCGTCAATAGTTCAAGTTTGTTTTTCGTAGTTCAAAGTTTTTAATCGGAGGAACAGTAATTAAAAGAAATAAAATTTCCCTTGTTACATCCACGATAAAAAAAAAATGTTACATCACATTTCAAATAATTTTTTTTCAGTGATTATATCTTTTCCAACCACAGTGAACAAAAATAATATCCAACATCATTTTATTGAACTGATTGTGTTATAAACAATGAGTAAGTTTTTTTCTTTAAAAATGCAAAGCCGCTGCATATACAAACAATTGTTTAAAAACTCAAGAAAAAAAATTGTTGAAGAAATTGACATTCTTTAAAATGTAATTACTAACTTTCATTCTTTTATCAAAAACAAGTGTGACCATACTATTTATATGTGAAAACAAAATGTGTTTGTGATAAAAAAAAAAACCCGGTGCACCCTTATTGAAGCTTTCGTTCTCAAATATCCAAACTCTAAATCTCTAACTCCAAGTTCAAGGTTAGGAGACCATTAGTAAACAAAGAACTTCTGTCATATACATTTCAATAGTTCAAAAGTTATAGCCAAGGTTAAAGATTGTCTTTTTTCAAAATTGACTCAAACTCCAAGGTCAAAGTCCAGAGGTCTAATGTGTTTGTACCCGAAGAAAGGTTTTGTCACATAAAAATACACCTGTCAAATATGTTAACCATAGCCCCACCCATTCAAAAGTAACAGATAAGTCTGAGTGAACAAAGAGACAAGCAGGAGGACGGTGTCGCATAATATACGTTCCGGGTAACTTGGCGTTCCGGCCGGAACGCTAAATACCTATAATATTGGTTCCGGGCCATAATAAACGTTCCGGCCCGCGTAAGATTGGTTCCGGCCGTAAAAAACGTTCCGGGCAACCAAGCACCCTATTAAACTCTCTATTTATATTTAATATTGGCTGTTAATTTTAATTTTCTTCTTTCTTTTATACCTTCGTATATGATACAGCAGGATTTAATCTTAAGACAACATATATGTTTACATTTCAAGTCAGAATATGCGGTCTTTTTACCAGAGACATTATATATTTATTGATGCCTCTGATTTAAATATATTAATCCACGAAATTCCAGTTGATTATTTTGATTCTTTGTAAACAAAAGAAGGTGTGAAACTTGTTTACATTGACATACCCCCATCGTGCTGTTTTACGACACACTTGGCTTCATCGATACGAATAATTGCGCAGTCTTGCGAATCGCCGTAAGCACACATGACCACCCTGATCAGATGATAATGTTGATAGATTAATTATATTTACGATAAAATACTTTAATTTTTAGATAATATTTTAATTTCCTTACAATTTTTTTAAACACCCATACATGTAGTTGCGTTTTTTTTAAACCAAATAATTATATTTATAAATTAAAATACAAGAACATAATGGGAAACGAGTGCATGCCGGATCTAAAAAGGGAATTTATAATTTAAGCATTTAATACGAAGGAAAAGTGTTTCCCGTTTGTTGATTATTTTTCTTCGTCAGGTGAAGTTTTTTTTTTTTTTTTTTTTTTTTTTTTTTAATTTTAATGTTATATGTCAACAAAACATGCACATGATCAACTTGGAAATGTTTCAATGACACGGCTAAAAACTTTTGAATAAAATTCAACTCATTTTTATTTATGCACGAAAGTACAAGTACATTTGTATTCATTTGTAAAAATAACACTGAAGAAGAAATGTATTTCAGACACAGATCTGTATTTTACTATTTATATGAATAGCATTGTGAAGTCTGCTTACCCCCCCCCCCCCCCTTCCCCTGCAGTGAACAATAGACAAAAAACTTGATTTGCTTGGTATGAAATTTTCTATATTTTAATTAACAATTTGTTGAATGTATTCAACAAACAAAGGAGTCTTAGTGGGGAAGGCAACCGCGAACGTTTGTTCTATCGCCTACCTGATTTTTCAAAAGACATCTTTGAATGACTTTTCTTATAGATATAATGGGTTTTTTTTACGAACTTTCAAAAACTATAATTATTTGGAAAAGAAGAAAACGTTTCACTTTAATTCTGATAAAACGTGTATTTCCGCTCTAGAACTCTATGGGAATGTAAAATCTTAATTTAAAATGAAAACCTGCAGGCATGCTTATGAAGCTATCGTAGGACTAAGACATCTCTTAAGACGAACTTACGACATATCTTAGTCTTAAGTGAGGCCATCGAAGCTATCCTATCTTAGGAGACCTCCTAATCTTAGTCCTAACTTTAAGATGACTGCGGACATGTCATATCTTAGGTGATTTTAAGAAACGCTGGTGTCAGGAAAACAAGTAAGAATGTTTTTCGTTTAAATAAATCAACTATTTACTGTAAATTAATGATTTCTTTAATGAACTAAATCCATTTATGAACATCATACCGTGTGAATATATGTATATGCCTGTACAAATAGAAATGGAGAGAACAGTTAATAAGAATGCGCTCATTGACATGTATGCATTTAAAGATTAAAACATTGAAAAAGATTTATTCAAGTCCTTTCTAAGTAGATAAAAATATACAATTGTTTTTTATTGGAACAAAAACGGAGTTATAGGGGGGATACATTCAAAAGATCTAAACCAATCTGCTGCGTTTATTGGTTTAAGCCGATGTAAATAATAAAAACAGCAGAGAAACAACACATATTCAAAAAATTAAAGAAAGTTTATAGAGGTGACTTCCTCTTCGTGGAAGAGAGAGAGAAAGAGAGAGTTTGTTGATCAACTTGGACAAAGAACAAGAAAAGATGTTATATGAAACAACTAAGTAGCAAATAGATATGAAACATCTTTCAGTAATTGCTACCGGAACGTTTATTATGGGCATACTTTTTGGTTCCGGGCTAACTTAGCTTCATCAAAAACTGGAAAACAAACAACTAAGTAGCTAAAATATATGAAATATCTTTCAGTAATTGCAACCCGGAACGTTTATTATGGGCATAATTTTTGGTTCCGGGCTAACTTGGCTTCGTCAAAATCTGGAAAACAACTAAGTAGCTAAAATATATGAAATATCTTTCAGTAATTGCAACCCGGAACGTTTATTATGACCATAATTTATGGTTCCGGGCTAACTTACCTTCGTAACAAAATGGAAAAGAAACAACTAAGTAGCAAAAATATATGAAATATCTTTCAGTAATTGCAACCCGGAACGTTTATTATGACCATAATTTTTGGTTCCGGGCTAACTTGGCTTCGTCAAAAACTGGAAAACAAACAACTAAGTAGCAAAATATATGAAATAACTTTCAGTAATTGCAACCCGGAACGTTTATTATGACCATGATTTTTGGTTCCGGGCTAACTTGGCTTCGTCAAAATCTGGAAAACAAACAACTAAGTAGCAGAAATATATGAAATTTCTTTCAGTAATTGCAACCCGGAACGTTTATTATGAGCATAATTTTTGGTTCCGGGCTAACTTAGCTTCGTCAAAATCTGGAAATGAAACAACTAAGTAGCAAATAAATATGAAATATCTTTCAGTAATTGCAACGTTAACCCGGAACATTTATTATGGGCATAATTTTTGGTTCCGGGCTAACTTAGCTTCATCAAAAACTGGAAAACAAACAACTAAGTAGCTAAAATATATGAAATATCTTTCAGTAATTGCAACCCGGAACGTTTATTATGGGCATAATTTTTGGTTCCGGGCTAACTTGGCTTCGTCAAAATCTGGAAAACAACTAAGTAGCAAAAATATATGAAATATCTTTCAACCCGGAACGTTTATTATGACCATAATTTATGGTTCCGGGCTAATTTAGCTTCGTAACAAAATGGAAAAGAAACAACTAAGTAGCAAAAATATATGAAATATCTTTCAGTAATTGCAACCCGGAACGTTTATTATGACCATAATTTTTGGTTCCGGGCTAACTTATCTTTGTAACAAAATGGAAAAGAAACAACTAAGTAGCAAAAATTTATGAAATATCTTTCAATAATTGCAACCCGGAACGTTTATTATGACCATAATTTTTGGTTCCGGGCTAACTTAGCTTCGTAACAAAATGGAAAAGAAACAACTAAGTAGCAAAAATATATGAAATATCTTTCAGTAATTGCAACCCGGAACGTTTATTATGAGCATAATTTTTGGTTCCGGGCTAACTTAGCTTCGT